TGTTTCCTTTCTTTCACGGGAAGTTCCTGGAGAATACCATGCCTGATATTCTTAAGGATAACCTGGACACCTAACTGAGTACAATACCAGGCCCAGTTTTGCAAAGAAAGCTGGGGGTGGATAATTCATGTAACGGGAAGTTCCCCAAAAAAATCCATATAGTGTATTCTTAGGGATAATCTGGTCACCACAGCAAGGTGATGAATAAGAAACTCCCATTCAAATTCTCACCGCGTTTGTGCACTCAACACTCTCATTGTCAGAGTCTGGACATAATATTCGGAATTGGTCAAACCTTTCTACAGTTAGGACCAAAACAATAACCCCCTCTCGATTCCCCCAATGAACGAGAGGTCCACAAATCGAGCGATCAAACCTTCCTACAGTTAGGATCGTCTCAAACCTCCCAATTGGTCAAACCTTCTTATAGTTAGGACCACAGTCAAAATCCCCTCTCGATTCCTCCAATGAACGAGAGGTCCACTTTCAAATCGAGTGATCAAACCTTCCTATAGTTAGGGTCATCTCAAACTACTGCTTGGTCAAACCTTCCTACAGTTAGGACCAAAACCACAATTCACTCTCGATAAACGAGAAATTCATCTTTAGTTCGGTAATCAAACCTTCCGACAGTTTGGGTTATCTGAATCTTTTCGATTCTCGGAGTGGAGATCCCACTTTTAGTTTCACCTTTCCGGATTCTAGGGGTGGAGATCCCACCTCGAGTCTCCTTTCCAGCTGAAGATAGAATATAAAATTCTTCTTCAGTGTCGGGAGATAGAATATAAAATTCTTCCTCTCCCATTTCGGGTTCGTCTTTGTCCCAAGAGAAGACACCACCTTTTTCAACTCCCAAAATCTGTACCTCACAGGTACGGGGAATTTTATCCCGAATCCTAAGTAGGGATAAGTCTGCGCCTAACACGCACTGCCGGTCTAGTCTTTCTCCGAAGAAAAAGACACAAGAGTTCGGTTCTGGGGTATTCTATCCTGAAACCTAAGCAGGGATAAGTCTGCGCCTAACCCGCGCTGCCGGTTAGTTCTTAACCGTTAAAAAGAACACACGTTCACATATTCAACATTGTGGCAGGTTGTTATTAATAACACCAAAATCCATGCCTTACACGCGTGCGGAATTTCATCCTGAATCCTAAGAAAGGATATGCCGACGCCTAATACACGTCGTCGGTTTAGTCTTTTTTCGTAGAAGAAGACACCAGAGTTCGATTCTGGGGTATTTATTCCGAAACCTAAGTAGGGATAAGTCAGCATCTAACACACGTTGTCGGGTAGCCTATTCTCGTGACAATGGAGAAGTCTACGTATTCGAAGTCGTAGCGCCAAGTCTAAGAGAATTCACTCTCTTAGCACAACGTTACATGCGGAACAGATTTAGACAATCCGCATGCTAGCCCGACTCAAACGGTAGTCGGTAAAGGCTAATCAAATTCGTTGAAGGCTGGGGGTTAGCCAAAAAACCCCAAAGTCAGCGCCTAACACGCGTCGCCGGTTTAGTCTTTTACCAATTGAAAAAGACACCAGAGTTCGATTCTGGGGTATCTCATCCCGAAGCCTAAGTAGGGATAAGTCAACGTCTAAAACACGTTGCCGGGTAGCCTATTCCCGTAACAATGGCGAAGCCTATGTATTCAACATCATAGCACAAAGTCTAAGAGAATTCACTCTCTTAGCACAACGTTACATGCGGAACGGATTTGACAATCCGCATGCTAGCCCGACTCAAACGGTAGTCGGTAAAGGCTAATCAAACCCGTTGAAGGCTGGGGGTTAGCCAAAAAATCCTAAAGTCAACACCTAACACGTGTCGCCGGTAGCCTATTCCCGTAACAATGGCGAAGTCTATGTATTCGACATCATAGCACGAAGTCTAAGGGAGTTCATTCCCTTAGCACAACGTTACATGCGGAACGGATTCCGACAATCCGCATGCTAGCCCGACTCAAACGGTAGTCGGTAAAGGCTCATCAAACCCGTTGATGGCTGAGGGTTTGCCAAAAATCCTATAAATACGAGAGTCACTGACGCATCAGCTCCATTAGTTGGTCTCGTGACTTGAGCATCGTATGACGTTCAAAACCCTAAGGTCAACGCCGGACAACGCGTAACCCTAGGTCAACGCCAGTCAAGGCGTTGCAATCAAAAAGTCAACGTACGACGTTCAAAACCCTAGGGTCAATACGTAACCCTAGGTCAACGCCTATCAATGCGTTGCAATGAAAGAATCAATACTCCGAAAAGTATACGAGTGCAATGAAAGAATCAATACTCCGAAAAGTATACGAGTATAAACTGCTTCTTAGTACTCCAATAAGGTATACGAGTATAAACTGCTTCTTAGTACTCCAATAAGGTATACGAGTATAAACTATTCCCTATATTTTTGGTTGAGAAGTTCCTGGAGAATATTGTTTCCTAAAAATATCCTTAAGGATAACTCAACAACACCACGTCGGACAACGCGTCGCAAATAAAGACTCAACGCCAACATTCGAGGGTCAGTTCTATGTTGAACCAACAAACACGAGCTAAAGATTAGAAAATTAGGAACCGACTTCAAATTCGAAATTCCGACAACGGTCAGACAATAAATGCAGCACCGGAAACCTTACAGACATTCGACAAAGCACCGAATAGCCTGAAGGATTGAAGGAATCAAGAACAGAAGCCATTCCAAAGTCCCGTTACACCGACTGAAGGTTGGGACAATCATATCCAAAGTATTCCAGACTCTTCTATAAAAGAACGAGACTGAAATACTTTGGAGGGGGTATCTGTAGGCATATAAAATTGCTTATAGGTCCCTTAGCTCAGCTCGACACAAACCGATGAACCAACGAGGCGACGAGATCGACAAATCGCACGCGAACAACGGAATGAATCCACCCGCGTGCAGAATCAAGCTAATGAGTTGAGGAATCAACGAGTCATCCAACCGAGAGCGGACAATGGAATACATCCATTCGCATGCGGAATCAAGCTAACAGTTCGGTGAGTCAACGAGTCATCCAACCATAGAACGGATTTGAACTCAAACACCGAGGCGGATTTACTGCCATATTGGGATTCGGACTGTCAAATCAGAGTCTGGATCAACAACGAAGCGCAAAACCGGACAACGGATACAACACCTGGGGGACTCAGCCAAAACCGAGCCACCTCTAGGTGGCTCGGTGGCCGAGCCACCTCTAGGTGGCCGGCCCAGATCTGTGCATTTTTGAGAGGTTGGAATTTTGGACGGCGAAGCTCTGCTGGATTGAAGACTCAAAACTTAAAAAAGATTAAAGCTTTGGAACTTTGAAGACTTGGGGAGATCAGATCTGGTTCGTGGCGATCATCCACGCCAAATAAGGCAGGAGTTCGAGAGAGATCAGATCTGAGATCTACGCAGTTTCCCTCCGGATCAAAGCTTGGCCTTTGATCCAGAGAACTAAAAGGCTATTATTTCCTTGGCGAAATAGTACCCTCGGCTGTTATTTCCTTTGTGAAATAACACCCGTCATACTGCGTAGATCCGACCAGATCTAGATCGCGCGGTGGTCCACGGATAAACCCCGGCGCAGGTGAAGAACCCACCAAAGCGAGTGACCGCAAAACAGGAGCTCGTGAAGGCAAAGAACCCACACAAGCGAGTGACCGCAAAACAGGAGCTCGCGATTCGTTCGACAAAAGAGAAAAATTGTAATTTTTATTTTATTTTCTTTTGATTTTATTGTAATTGGATCTTATAAAAAGACCGGATCTTTGTAACCGATAAACTGTTAACAAAGAAAACAATGGAATCAATGAAGAACACAATTTTTCCCGCGAACATAAACGTTGTTCGGGTGAACGTAGAAAATCCGGTTGTGATAGTGGAGATCTCCTCGAGGTGAGGAGCGGAGACGTAGGTCAAGTGGTTGACCGAACTCCGTAATCATATCATTTGTTTGTGGTTGCATTGGCGCACTCATCTTTATGCTTATATCCTATATCGCCTTTGTATATTGCATGTTGTTTGTATTACCCACTATCTAGTTTAGATTGTTTATTTTACCCTTGTGTTAGATTCATATCCTTGCATATAACTCATAGCATATCTCATTGCTAGGTTATATCCCTTGTTCATATTGCTTATCCTAGCTCACATATATTATTGTATTTCATACTTGCTAGGATAACTTGTTAATTAATTTTAATTAGCATAAAATCGGATTAGATTAGTATAAGACCCTAATCACCCCCCCTCTAGGGTCTAACACATCGATGTGCTTCATTCTGACATGATAAACTGGATTCTCGGCAAGGTGTATAGCGCTCTGGATATCACAATAAAGAACTTCTCTACCTTGCTTCAGATCAACTCTTCCAAACATCCAGCCAACCAAATCATCTCCTTGCTTGCTTCAGTCACCGAGACATACTCAGCCTCGGTTGTAGATACACTACCGAAAAATGGGTCTATGGGGACGGTTTATAACCATCCCGCTAGACAATAAAACTATCCTCATTGGCCTACAGGGATGGTTACTCATCCGATACATTTGCCGCCGTAGTGCTTGGTCTAACGTGACAATTCATGATCCAAGTAGCGCGGTTCTTGAACTGTTCCCGTTTATAACATTTGGGGATGATTTACCTATGGGGACGGTTCATATTTTTGCAGATGGTAACAGTTATTTAGCAATGGGAACGGTTATATTTTTAAGCTATTGTGACGCTTACGCACCAAGAGGGACAGTTTCGAGTTTGATCTAAGAGGATGGTTTTGTTGTCTATGGGAATGGTTTTGTTTGTGATCTATGGTTTATATCAAAGGAGACGGTTAGCAATGGGGACAGTTTTTAGCAATGGGGACGGTTTTCAGATGTAAAGATATGAGAACAGTTATATATAGCAAAGGGGACGGTTTTTAATTTTTACTGATCAAAGCAAATCATCCAGATATCACACATTAGTCCATCACATACAAAGAAACAATAGTCCAAGTTTTACACACAAACTAACCAAACTTTAGTCTTAATATAATGAACAATTCATTACAACGAAGAACAATATTACAGCATTAGGATTGAGATTCATCACAAGTTTTTACTTTTGTTCAAATCACATATCACAATTCCTCCATGATTAAAACAAAGAGCTACTGCTTAATCAAAAGATCAAAATGTCTCTATTAAGACGATTAAGTTCTAAATCTTCACAACAAATAAATCCCACAAAGAGCGATAAGCATGGATCTTCAGATGTTTTCCTGCATACATTAAGATAAAAAGATAAGCATATACATATAATAAAATCAATTACATAATCAATTACATTACATATACATATATGATACTGAATTTTCCAGTATTCTCGAACAATTATCACTTTTTCCAGTTTCAGTTTTTTGGTACTTTAAACAACCTCCACAAGTATTAATTATCCAATTCCAACCAACTTTGCTAACTGGATATGTAGGACACAAGCAATTAAATACTATGCATTGCCTGACTCACGCAACGCATAGGCAGTCCACTTCACATACCACGTGTTTTGCTACTCGAGTAGTGAAGGATAAAGGAGTAACTATAAACATCAAAAAAGATAAGGAAAAAACAAGATGATATAAGAAAGTTTATCTGGTGAATAGATACATACCATTCATGATAGCATTTCATGCTCATAGCATGGCTGTAGTTGGGTAGTACAACCATGTTGTTCATTTCCATACAGATCCCACATGCTTCTTCACTTTCATCATCTATATCGGATAATAGCCTCATATCATCATCTTCTCTCCTTCTGTATCATACACACTGCTTTTTGTTTTTTATCCTCCATATCAGTTATCCCCTTGTGCAGTTGCATCAGAGAGGGAAAAATTACAGTTGACATTAACATTATAATCAATAATGTGAATTTAAGAATTTAAAAATTAAATTAAGTTCTTAGATGAATGCAAGCCAAGTAATTTACCATAAAACTCCTTGATACTTGCTTTTCTGTCATAGATTGACATAGTCGTTCTTCCGTTGACATAAACCTACAAATGAAAAGTTCTCAGCCTGCAATACATTAGGTATCTGGTGCTCAATACAAAAGAGGACAAATCCTCAGGTTAGGAAGATATCAACCTTATACATTAAGATCCTCATCAAACCAAGAGCCCCTGCAAATCTACAGTCTGTCCACTAGACCAGAAAAAGAACGATTTGGGCAGCTGGGGTATATGATACACGCATCTGAAGACAAGCACCATCATATTCCCACGGAAAATCCGAAGCCCTGCACATCAAAATTAAGGGTTGGCAACAGTGAAACACTTCACACTACCAACAAAAACCAATCTCATTTCTCTACAATACAAATTGTTCATCCAGACCAACAATATCGACAATTTTACAGCACGCAACAAACAATATCTACAATTTTCTAGTTTTAACACTCTCTTTAAAGCTTTAGGGTTTTCCTATACTTATAAAAATTAAATGAAAAATGTTGCTTCTGTTTCCTACTCCTAAGGACCTCATCCCCTATACAGCACAAACCTGATATATTCTATTTAACTATTGCAAATAAAACAATGCACGTCAGTACATAACCTCAAACAATGAATCACATGTATATAGTAAAACAAATCTTTTTACCTATTAATGTTAGCAACCAAGGGAGTGGCGTAAATGCTTGAGCTAATCTCACTCTGCCATTTCAATTCCAGATGCCTCGGGCATTTGGAGTTCAGCAAGGAATCCTCGTCTCTGCAATCAGAAAGTGATGTGATGAAACTATCAATCATTACATCTTACTAGACAGCTCTTTGCAGATTAATTAAGTCCTAGCCCAAACACATGCTAATGTTAAGACTTAAGATCAACCCCTCAGATAGGAACAAAAGCACACAAATCTTAAATTAGATGCCTTGCCCTTTATGGGTTTTACTTGTAATAATATTGTGAAGAAGAGCACTAAAATAAAAAAGATTCAATTTTGCCTGTCCTAACATGAAACTAGAGTGAATGTTGACAAATTTCAAGAAGCAGCTCGGAATTTCTTAAACATAACCCCCCAAAATTAACTAAATTGACAGGTTCAAGGTTCCATGCCCAAACTTAATCATGACAACACTTCAATCAGCATCCCCTTCATCATATTGTGATCCCATCAAGTTTGGAACGGAGAAAGAAATCTAAATCAGGGGCAAAAGGAGAAATCAAACTTATAAGTTGGGATAACAGAGCAAATCATCACTAGCTTCGCGTTCTCGAAACTTGTTTTTCTTCTTCGTCTCTTCCTGTTTAGAATCTGAGGCGCCATGGATCGGAATAAAGGAGGAAGAGATAACTAAGAAGGAGACGAGAAGGCCGGTGAGCGGCCTCATTAGGGGGGAGAGAGAGGGGGACGAAAAAACACTATATAGGGTTTTCTACTACAAGCAAATAGATCACGACAATGAGGAGTTGTTTCAGGCTACGATCGGAGAAGAATTAAAAATAATGATTTTAGTAAGAGGGGGGAAAACAAAAAAAATATGGGGAGAACGGAGCGTTACCTCCTTCTTCTTCTTCTTCCTCTTCTTGGCGCCACCGCGGAGATGGAGGACGAGGTGGAGCGTCGACTCCTTCTGGATGTTGCAATCGGCCAGGTTTCCATATTTAACATCTACACAAAAACATATAAAAGCAATGATTAAATAGTGAAAAGCATAATTTAGATAAAAGATATTTATAGTAATTTAATCCTATATATAAAATCTATGTCCTAAATGTTTTAAAGATGCTGAGCTATAATTCCTGTTCTTGTATTATTTCAAGAACTGAAAAGGGAAGTAAAATAAAAAAAGGAAATGACTATAACGCATTTAAAAGACTTTGCAGCTTGCTTGGATAACTCAAACAAACAGTGAGCTCAATGCATCAGTGATAAGCTTTTTGCACAATTAGCATTTGGATGTTGAAAATCCAAACACTTTATAATGCTAACCTACCCATTATTGAGTTTCATTAGAACTTAATATTCAAAAACTAACCAAATTACCCAAAACCATTGACTATAAGATCAAAACTCTTCATATATATAGGATAGAAAACTCAGAGCATTTTTGTAACCTTATGTCATTCGCTCAAGAATAAAGAATGTTACAATGAAGCAACACTAGCGAAGCTAATTCAAAGCACAAAGAAGCAGTCTTTTATCATCTCAGCAACTAAATCAACTAACAAGATTCATGAATTCTAGCAATTAGAAGAGAACTTCTACGAAATCTAAAAAGAAGACAACACCAACAATACAGAGCTCACCCTTTCTGTGCCTCTTATTCCTAACCGACTTCTCTGGTGATTTAGTGCAAGCATTGCTCTCCTAAACAAGCAAAAACCTCCCCCAAAGATCATATTTTTATCAAACAATCACTCAAATTACCAAAATCTCAACGCAAAAACCAGCCAATCTCACCTTATTGAACTCAAATCCATTCGACATTTCTGGCGTTATATAATCCGGAGTACTGCACCAACAAAATCCCCAAAAATCAACAAAAAACCCCCACAAAAAACAAGAAATCGAGCACAAATTTTGACCTACCAAAAGATATCCTAGCTGAGGATGCAAAGGTCCTCGGGCTCAGCTGCGGTTTTGCCCCATCGAGGTTAGGGTTTAGATCCAATCTAGGGTTAGGGTTCCGTCGAGGGGGTAGGAGATTAGGGTCGGGGTTGAAGGAGAAGAGGGAGGAGAGGATGAAGATGGTGAAGACATCAAGGAGGAAAACGAGGGTGAGAAGGTTGGCGGGCGAACGTGACTGAAGAGGAGGCTGCGGTTTTGCTCTGTTGAGAAGAGGTGAGGTCACAGAGGAAAGAGGAGATCGTCGAGGAGAGGTGTTTGATTTCTTTTTTTTGATCGGGTGAAGAGGGGTTATACGAAAGAAAAATAGAATTGTTTTTTTGTTAAAGATTGGTCTCATAATAAAACCGTCTCGTTAGCTCACTACAAGATTTTTTTTAAGTCTAATTCAAGCCCAACGTTTTATTTTAAAGTGTTGTCTTAGATTCTATTGTGATGATTGGAACCGTTTCATGACCGTTCCCTTAGGAGGCAAAGGGGACGGTTTTAAACCGTTCCCAAATAACCGTCCCTGTATACATATTTTGTGGTAGTGATAAAGTTATAATCTTATGCAGATGTGAGACCCAGCTCACTGCTGTCGACGTTAAAATATAAACATACCCCGTGATGCTCCACCTCGTATCATGATCACCGGTGAAGTTCGCATCCATGTATCCCTGCAGCACCAATTCCTTACTCCTAAAACATAGTGGTTTGTTCGTTGTCCCTCTTAGGTACCGCAATATCCAATTCACGGCCTTCAAATATTGCTTCCCTGGATTGCTTGCAAACCTGCTCATAACTCTCACTAGATGGGCAATGTCTGGCCTCGTGCAAACCATCGCGTACATAAGACTCCTAATGGACGAATAATATGGCACCATGCTCATATGCTCTCTTTCTGTATCTGTCTTAGGCGATTGCTCCTCAGATAACTTAAAATGGCTTCCAAGGGGTGTGCTAACAACCTTAGCATTCTGCATATTGAACCTCTGAAGTGCCTTCTCGATATATTCAGCTTGGCTTAACCTCAATGTCCCTTCAGCTTCATCCCTACTGATTCGCATCCCTCGAATTTGCTTCGCTGTACCCAGATCCTTCATTGCAAACTCCTTTGCTAGCTGCTTCTTCAAACTATTTATCTCCTCTAAACACGGTCCTGCTACTAACATGTCATCAACATATAATAACAATATAATAAAACTGGACTCAAACCTTTTGAAATAGCAGCAATGATCCGAATTGCATCTTGCATAGCCATTATTCTGCATAAAGTTATCAAACTTCTTGTATCACTGTCTCGGAGCCTGTTTCAAACCATATAAGTTTTTCTTGAGCTTGCACACTATCTCTTCCTTTCCTTCTTCAATGAAGCCAACAAGCTGCTCCATGTAGATTTTTTTCATCCAAGTCACCATGAAGAAAGATAGTCTTCACATCTAACTGCTCAAGGAAGAGGTCTTCTGTAGCTACCAAGCTCAACACCACTCTGATGGTTGTGATCTTTATAAAAAGGGAAAATATCTCTGTGTAGTCAACTCCTTCCCACTGCTGGAACCCCTTTACAACTAATCTGGCCTTATACCTCTTGCTTCCATCACTCTCTTGCTTGACTTGGTAGACCCATTTATTATGCAAGGCTTTCTTCTGTGCAGGTAGCTGGGCTAACTCCCATGTCTCGTTAGTGAGTAGAGAATCCATCTCCTCCTGCATCGTATGCTCCTACTGCTGAGATTCACTCACTTGTATAGCCTCCTTGTAGCATTCCGGTTTACCGCTATCGGTCAACAATAAGTAATCAAGAGATAAAAGATATCTAGGATTCGGTTTGGGTACCCTGGATGACCTCCTAAGTTCCACGCCCTAGGTAGTTGCTTCTGCACCCGGAGCCTCCTCTGTTCTTTGGTCAGAACAAACATCATCACCCCTATCTATAAGTTCCTCTAAATCTATGTACTCGGATCCACCTGCATCCGAAGTGTTTCTCCCACTGCTTTGGCTATCCTTGACAATTTCCCTGTCCTTGTACATCACCTCCTCATTGAATATGACGTCTCGGCTCCTGATGATCTTCTTGTTCTTCTCATCCCAAAGACGATACCCGAACTCATCAATACCGTATCCAATGAATGTACACTTTTATGATATAGCTTCTAGCTTGTCCCTGACATGGTCACTAATGTGAACATAAGCCACACAGCCAAATACCCGCAAGTATGAGAGATTGACCTTCTTGCCACTCCAAACCTCCTCTGGAATCCCAAAATCCAATGGAACTGATGGCTTATGATTAATAAGGTAAGCCGCCGTATGCACCGTATCCGTCCAAAATGTTTTAAGTAGACCTACATGCAATCGCATGCTCCTGGCACGCTCCGTCAAGGTTCTGTTCATCCTCTCTGCAATGTTGTTCTGCTGCGGCATCCCTGGAGTAGTCCTCTCTAAGCGAATACCATTCGTAGCATAGAACCTCTTGAACTCCTCCAGCTGCTCATATTCCCCATCATTGTCTGATCTCAGACACTTCACCTTCAGATCTGTCTTATTTTCCACCATGGTCTTCCACTTCTTGAAGACTTCGAACACCTCTGACTTGTGCTTCATGAAGTAAACCCACACCTTTCTCGAGTGATCGTCGATAAAGATGACATAGTATCTCAAACCGCCAAAAGAAGACATACTAGCTGGACCTCATACATCTGTATGAATCAACACTAGCTTCTGATCCTTAGGTGGCCTTCCATCCTTCTGGAAACTAACCCTCTTCTGCTTCCCAAAGATGCAGTTTTCACAAACCCCGACTTCCACGGAATCGATCCAGGTTAGCTTTTCCTATGAATGTAGAATTTTCATTCCCTTCTTGCTCATGTGTTTCAACTTGTTGTGCCACAGATCCGTACTCTCTTTGCCATCTGCAATTGCGAGGGTGTCACTCGCATGTGAGGTGAGGTAGAGTGTTCCTGTTTTGTTGCCTCGGGCAATAACCATTGTACCATTGGAGATCCTCCATGAATCCCCAGTGAATGTCGAAACGTAGTCTTCTGCTCTAAGTTTTCCTACCGAAATAAGATTTCTCTTAAACTTCGATACGTGTCTCACGTTCTTTATGTTCCACTTAGAGCACTTCATCTAAATCTGCACGTCGCCCTTTCCAACAATATTATAGGGTTCATTGTCCCCCAAATACACTTTTCCAAAGTCCACTGCTAAATAATTCTAAAGAATCTTCTTACTAGCAGTGGCGTGGAAAGAGGCTCCTGAGTCGATGACCCACGAATCCGAATCCCTGTCCATAGCAAGGATCAAAGCATCCTGCACGATATGAGCCTCCTGCTCACCTGCATCCTTTTTTGAACTTTTGCAGACTGAAGACATATGGCCCTCCTGGTCACAGTTCCAATACTTTTCTTTGATAGGCCTAACCTTCGAGTTCGACCTCTTCTTCACTGATTTCGACCGATTCCTGTTCTAGTTTCATTTCTTTTGACTTCTCTACCTCGAAACTTAGAGCTGGATCTGAACCTTCTGATTTTAACGATTTTCTTCTAAACTCCTCGGATAAAATTATGCTAACAACCTCACTCAGCTTTAACTTCTCTTTCCTACCGAGATGCTGATTGCCGTCACACAACCTGATCTAACTACTCTGGCAACTATAGAATCAATAGGGCTTGCACTTCGTCATCAAACATAATGTCCACAAAGATAAGTTGATCAACAATCGTGTTGAACTCGCTGAGGTGCATCGTGAAGGACCGTCCTTCTGCCATCTTGAGGTTGAAAAGAGTTTTGACGAGATACACCTTATTTGCTACAGACGGTTGCTCGTACATCTTTGCGAGCGCTTCCATAAGCCCTACCATCGTCTTCTCCTTCAATATGTTGTGTGCGAATATCTTGGTGAGCGACAACCGGATTTGCCCTAGAGCCTTCCTATCCAGTATCTCCCAATCATCGTCTGACTCCTCTTTCTTCTATCCCTTATCCTTGCCCATCAACAGGCGATAGAAGTCCTTCTGGTACAGATAGTTCTCCATCTGTGATTTCTAGTAGGCGAAGTCTGAACTATCAAACTTCTCGATCTTAGATTTGATTTCCTCTGCCATGGCTCTTTCTCACAAATTTGCTGAATGAAGCTCTGATACCAGTTGTTGGGGATTCGAAAGAATCAAATCGAATCCGTACCCTTCCGGATCTTGTGTTTAAGAGTTGAGCAAGGAAGAAATTCACCACAAATCAAAGATAAAAACTTGTAGGAAAGTAAACAAGAAAGAACACACCATATTTAACGAGGTTCAACAACATGCCTACGTCCTCGGGAGCCACACCACACAATTCTTTAATTAATTGAAGAAGATTACAATGCTTGTAATTGGCCTCTCTCTCTCTCTCTAACATTTCTAATCTCAAAGAGCCCTCAAAACCCTCTTTTTTGTGTTCTTTTTCTCTTCTAAACCCTAAAGGGATGTGTTTCTAGTTATAACAAAATATAATCCCAAACAGATTATTATTCTAAAATGAGTCTGTCATACCCTGATGTGACACACACCACACCCATGATAAACATGGTAGATTCTGCCATACCAGTGTGTGGCAGACACCACACCCATGGCAAACAGGACAGATTCTGCCATACCCTGCCACATGGATGTGGCAGACACCACACCAGGATGTGGTGGAGTCTGTCTTGCTTATTTTTCATGTGTTTGTTGATTTTGATTCTAGGTTTGGGTCTTCACTCTCAAGACCAGCATAAGTGACTAGCTTGCTTGAGTTGTAGGAGAATGAAGATTCTTTCTTGAAATAATGAATATGTTATGGTGAGTTTGCTTCATTGAACAAGTGAGAAATGCCAATAAAAGATCATTTATTGAATACTAGTATAATGCACGTGCTTTTCACGTGAACGTAAATATTTTAAGTTTTAAATTTTTTATTGAATAGTTAAACTATGTGTTAATAAATAAAATTTTACAACAAGATTGCTTAAAAAGAAATATATAAATTAATTATTATTGTGTAGTTATTGTAATTAAATATTTTTCTTATTGTGATTCACCAAGTGGTAACCCTTATTTTTAATAAGTGTCTACATCTAATATTATTCTTGAATAATGCCAATTTTGTAAGTTCTCTTAAATATGTCTCTTCAACTTAAAAGTTATTAACTTAATTCTAAGTTAAGTAAGCTGCATTAATCTTGCTTGCTTTTTCCTGATGTTTTCTATATAGTTAGACTTAATACCTACAACATATTGCAGTAGTTACTTCTCATTATAATTATTTAATAGGGTAAATAAAAATAAACCCTTATG